AAGACTTGAATTTAAATGTCTTGGAATTAAGTATGAAATATCAACTATCTTCCATATCTGTCCTGAGATTTTTCTGGATTTCCATGGATTCCTCTTTCTTTTCCTACAGGAGTATGAGCTTTGTAATATTTAGTCATAGGCATTAAATTTAAAGACTTCTTATTCGTTCTAACAATCTGAAATCAAGTAGAACTTCGGATACTTTTTACCTAGAGCTTTCACAATGTTATATGTTGTCTGATTATTTCATCTGCATCATAGTCTCGTAAATAGGTCTAATTTGTGTAGGTTATCTGACTATGTAAGTACTTTGATTAATTCAGCTTTCTCTTTCATACCAAATATGCACATTTAAGACTTTCTAAACTTTTGTTTTGTTATTTAAAATGCTGCTTGTGGGGACATGACTATAACAGGAAAGTTGACAAAAATGAAGCAATAATATAAATCATGGTTATCATTCATTGAAGACTTGGCATCAGAAACTGTGTTGAATGACTTATTACGGGCTCATTTAATGATTCCCCTTTCCATGAGATTAGGTATCGATCTGCCCACCCTCTAGGATGAGAGAACTCAGATGAGGCCAGGTGTAGCTGCCTCTTATGTCCATGCCCACAGGACCTACACAACACTGTAATAATGTTTGAAGGAATTTCCTAAGTAATTACTTTTTCATCTTTCAATTTTTATTTTTTTCTGATATGTTTTCATTTTATACTTTTTTATTTTACAAAAGGATAGAGGTATATCTATGTTTGTTTCAGATACTACTTGTCATACAATGATTTTTCGATTTACTTTAAACACAATATAGGTTATCCTTTAAAATTAAAAAATACAGGTAAACTGAAGCAAAAAAAATTTAAGGATTTTTTAATATGTAATGGCTTTCCTTGCTAATTTCCTTAACATTTTTGTCCTGCATACATGGTTTTTGTCGAAGATTCAGGATGAATTTAAAGGTGGAAAAATTAATGTAGAAAAAACACATAAATTACTTGAAAAATTAGATATTCAGTGCAATTACTTTCATGTGAAACATATTTTTAAGGTGAGATGATATCCCCCCTTGGTTGTCCCACCTAAGAAGCACTTAACCTAAGTAAACATTAGTGACTACTTGAATGTTTTTTGTACAAAATGTATAGAGGAAATCAGTCTCTTAAGAATGAAATGAATTCATTATTCTATATTTATAATAAATTTGAAGAGATTTAGAAAGGAGGTAAAGTTGGTTGCTGATTAAATTTGAAATAATAGCAGGCTATTTGTGTAGCATAACTTCCTGAACATGAAGGAATGCTTACATCTCCACTAGAATTGGTCATATGTCAAAATTGTATAAATGATTAAATGCAAAATAGATGCAATGCAAATGGCTTATAGAAGGAATAAGTAGTGACTGGGATGGAGTACCAAAAAGATGCCCAAGTGGTTAGCTTTGAGATCTGTTGGGGAGATTGACAAAGCACAACTCTGGGTGGGATATGGAAGAGTTAGGTTTTGTGGAGTTTACGTCTAGTCCTTCTCCCTTTCTTCCCTGGCACTGTTCCCCTCCTCTGCTTTCTGAGTACAATGACCTAAACATCTCATGCTGTTCTATGCCTTTCTGTCATAAGGTTCCTGCCTTACAACCAGTGGACCACGGACTAAATATTCAGAAACTGAGCCAAACTAAACCTCTCTTTCTTTAAGTTGTAGGTGTAGGTGTTATGTCTCAGTAATGAGAAAGCTAATATAAAAAATTGGTATTGGAGAAATAAGGTAATTTCTACGACTATCTTTAATCATGTGATTTAGAAACCTTCAGAACAGGTCTGTGAAATAGTCTGGAATAGTTTGAAGATGATAGTCAGAGAAGTCCTGGATCTTATAAGCAAGATTGGTGGGTGACTGAGGTCAAAACTCAGAAGACCAGAATGCTAGTGGGAATGTGGACAGTAAAAGCCAGACTCAGAAGGCTTCAGTTGGGAACAAGACAGCCTTGACTTATAGAGTAGGGGACTTGTTTGTTATATTCTGGAAGATAATGTATCTATATTTTTCTCCTGTATTGAGACTGCCAAAGAATAAGATAAGGATGGTCGACTAATTGATCTGGTGGAGGAAATTTCAAGATAGCCAATTGTCAGGCCGTGACCATTGGCTGATTTTAGTCAGATTTATAATGAGAATTCAGGATAATAAATTGAGCTGAAAAATTTCAAAAACTTAAAATCTGGCCCTAAAAATGATGTATGAAATTGGTGACACAGGAGGTGCAGTTGCTGAAGAGACTATCATTATTCAAAAGAGAGCAAGAACTTTGTACTGGGACAAAGAAAGGCCACCTAAGGAACTGATTCCCTGGGATGCATTGCACTGTGCTTAGTGATCTGGGCACTTGCTGCTGTTATGGTCTAAGGGGGTCTGGCTGTTGCTTCTACCAACAGCCTTGTTGGCATCACCCAAGTGATGTTTGTTTTATTGCTGTACAGAATACTATTGTTTTGGAGTCAGAGACACTTCCATTCAGATTGGAAAGGAAGGCCTGGGAGACCAGGGATGGAGCCTCTAGAGAGCGGTGTGTGAAGCTATGGAAATGAAGATGAAAGTACTGTGAAAAAGCCAGAGATATCTGGAAAACTGTAGGCTATTAGTGGAGCTGGCCCAACAGAGAGACCCTGTGGGTTCTGAAAGGCCATAGGGCTGGGCTGCCCAAGCCCTTGGAACTTACTTCTCACGTATCATGGATGTACAACTACAGAAACTGGATAGACAACTCATATTTGTATATGAAATGAATAGTTCCCTACTGGACTTCGATCTGATTGTTCTCTACCATTTATTCCTACATTTGGAATGAGAAGTTTTAGCCTGTGCAAAAAATCCCTGTACTTTGGGATTATATGGTTTGGTTTTCTTTTTTCTTTTTCTACAGAATTTCATGCTTTGTTTGCCTAGAGTCTCAGAAGAAAATTTAACTTTTTTTTTTTTTTTTGAGTTAGGATTTCACTCTATAATTCAGGCTGGACTTGAACTCATTGTGTAGCCCAGGCTGGCCAAAACTCACTGAAATTTTTCTGCCTCCTGAGTGGTGGGATTACAGGAATGTACACCTCTTTGACTTGGATTTTTGAAAAATGCTTGACTTGTTCAAATATCGGGGAAGAGATTGTTGCATGCCAATTGTATTCAAGATAGTTAAATTATGTTAGGGAGAATTATAAACTTTCTTTTTTTCTTTGGGGATTAAGTGTAGTTTAAGAGGATGAGTGTATTGATGAAGAGTAAGATGTAGTGTCCTATTCAGACTAACTAGTTAAGATAAAGAAAGGAGTTATTCAAGTTGGAAAAGCAGTGGCTGGCCTGATAGCTCAGCAGACTAATGAGCCTGCTTAGGCAGAGCACAGCGGCCGGGGTTCGATCACTGGTGTGCTGTGCTGGCCCTGCCCATGGGGCACGCTGAGATGGTGACTGAGACTGGGCATGGTGGAGTGTGCCTGTAATCCTAGAACTTTTGAGGCTGTAAATAGGAGAATCACTACAGGTCCAAGCTATGTAGTGAGACCCTGTAGACCCTGTAGACCCTGCCCTAAAATATAGAGAAAAAAGTTGGAAAAGCAGATGATATGATCTCATATATAGAAAAACCTGATAACTACCAAAAAACCAATTAAAACTAATAACTTCAATAAAATAGAAAAATAGAAAATCAACATACAAAAATCAATCACATTTCTATACACTAACAATGAACAATCCAAAAACAAAATTAAGAGTTTTTTCCAGCAACATAAATATACTTAGGCAAAAGTTAACAAAGATAAAAGCTTATTAAAACAAAACAAAACAAAATAACTGTGCAACATTATACCGAGTAATATAAGTTCTTTTTCCACTTTTTGTCTTTAAAATTTTTTTCACTGTTAGTTTTTAGAAATTAAACTGATTTTTGCATGTTGATTTTTATTTTTCTATTTTACTTAAGAAAAAATCTCCCTGAATAAATTCCTTAATCTATAGAATAGGGATGCTAATATAAGTTAATCACAGGATTATTTTGGATATTAAATAAGACATTACTTATGTATGTGCCTAGTAATGGAAAAAGTGGGAACTTAACATATTAGCTGAAGTTACATCAGTTTGTTTCAAAAGAATTTAGAAAATTGTGTTATACTCATTAATTTCCTGAGGAGCTAACATAAATTTAGACATGAATTTATTTTCTTACAAGGTGACTTTTTAATGTAAATTTGAGTAAAGAACATATAACTTTATGATCTTGGCAATATATTCTGAATTTTCTACAAGATTAATTATTGAAATATAGCTTGAGCAGCAATTTTTTAATTTTATGAAATTCTTTTGTTATGAAATTTTATTACTTCCATTTTAGACTGTTACATTATTTAAATATTTTATAGGAAATCTTGCATAATTTCACTGCATATATACAGTCTTAGACTATATCTTTAGTTGTGTATGAAATATTTTCCTTCTTTTTTTTTGCTCAAAATAGTTTCCTATTTAATTTCAAGAATTTCTTACAATAGATTTTATTGTAAGTCTTCCAATTTTCTAGACAACAAACAACCACTACCAAATCTATTATATGTGTATGACACTCTGTTAGATACTGCTTATGATAAAAAATGAATGAAGAGTTATCTCTTTCTTAGAAGAAAAAGGAATGCAAAAGTTACTATTTTTTAAATAGGTCATCATCTCATGGAAAATTCTAACAGGGAATTTGAGAAGAAAGAGATTCTTTAATTTGGGTTTTCTTGGAAGATGCTGTAGTGGAGGTATCATTTTTGATGGACTTTATAGAATGAAAAAGACAATGGCAGGACCCTGTCTAAAAATAAACAAACTGAAAATGAGTTAAGGATGTATCTTAGTGTGATGACCTTGTACTCAACCCCCAGGATCGGCTGTGGGGTGGGGTGGGAGCTGAGGGGATGGAGGGGAAGAGAGGAGGAGAAGAGAGAAAAGAAGTTTGAGGAGAGAGGAGAAAGAGGAGAAAGGAGAGAGAAGCAAGAGGAGAAAGAAGAGGAAGCAGAGGAAAAGAAAGGAGTAAATGTTTAGATTATCATTGCACAGAATTTATTTCTTCATATGTGCTGTCAATTTGTGTAAGAAGATTGGACTTTCCATTGTTCTCTGTGCTTTTGGAGTTAGTTCACCTTTTGGTATTTCATGCGTATGGGTCTGGGGACTTAGTAATGCATTGGTACTCTAGGTTATAGCTGATATTGTGTGTGTCAGACCCCAGACTTGAATCTTTCTTGCTCCTTGCTTTTCATTTTCTCACTTCCCCTGATCCTTACTATGTTCATTTTGTCCTGTCTTTTCCATCATTACTTACCCCTTGTTACTTTCCTTTTTCTACTCAGATCTTCCCATCTTCAGTGATACAACCCTGATTACATATAATTGACAAGGTGCATTATTTTAAGATTATGTAATTTTAAGGTAAGCATTAGTCAGCCTTCCCATCACTGAATCATAATCAATATAAAGAAGGAAAGGGTTCATTCAGTTCATGGTTTCAAGAGGTTCAGCATGTGGCTGGTGGGCTCCCAGCCAGAAAGGTCTTGGTGGAATGGGTCGTGGCATCCAGGAAGCAGTGCAATTGCACCAAGTGACATGATCAAAGGATAACGTATAGTACTGAAGACTATGTCTCCAGGACCCACCCAGACACACCCTGGAGTGTGCTTCACTAATCTGAAAGGAGTTTCTTAATTCAGTGAAATTGGCAAGTCAGGAATAACAGTCATGTGGTGCCATCGTTGTTTAGAGTATTTTGGAGAACCAATAACTGATTCAAGACCCAGTATCTCAAGCACAGACTCGAGGTTTTCTCACAACACATCCCGTCTCACTTCCCATTTGGCCCTTCATTCTAGCCCTGAATCTTCAAGCAGCTACTACTATTAAGTGATCATTCCTCCTCAAACTTACTCAGTGCTCTTCGTATTTGGTTCCCAGCTTATTCTAGTAGCTATTGAATATTTTCCTAATGAAATTAAAAGATCAATTTCTGTTATATACTAAGGGCTC